GGGTTATCTGTTCTGAAATAAATAAGCTGCCTGCAGAGCATCAAGCAGGACTTGGCTTTTGGCTGTGTAGGACGCACAGGCATCCTTCGCAGCTGCAAAGACATCTCCTCCTTGTTACATGAAAGTAAAAAACTAATCCCTGGTCTGTTGTGTGCGTTTGTCCAGATAACTGTAGTAGAACCCTTTTTTAACAAAGGATTAAAAAGACTCATTGTCCCCAATTTGTGGTGGACTACAGTGCCATGTTATCTTCAAACATCATTCACAATTTAGAGGGACTCAAAAGACAAGGGGGTTATTAGAACGGTATGTTTTGGTTGGTTTAGTAATCTGTACTACACTAACCAGTAGTGATGGGTCCAGCAACACTGATACACCGGCACATGTGCCGAGTTCGTTTAGCGAAACCTCGTATCGGCGCGCGTGTCGCTTTATGAAAAAGCCACGTGACCGATACAGCTGCCGTGTCGCTTGTCACCGACACGGCAAACTGTGTTTAAAAGGTTCCGCATCTGCAAGTGTCACCGGTATGAACCGCTCTCAGAAAAAGAAAATAACCCTTTCAAAAAGGAAAAACATCCCATTTTACAGTATAAAAAATGGAACCTGCAACTAAAAGAAAGTATTCTGCAGTGTGATACTGCAAATAACAGCAAATAAGGCAATGTTTGTATTTTACATTTCACGCTTTATCTACAATCAAGATTTAGTTTAAAATGGAAAATCTAGTTAGGCATGGTGGATGAGTAGATAGCGCTCTCACCTCGCGTTTGAGAGAACTGGGTACGAATCCCAGTAGGACCTTAAAAGCTTATGTTGACATCACAGTCTTGAAGAATGATTTTGAGAAATTGAAGTGCAGAAAATGTCAAAGGTTTTTTCAAGTATACTTTAGTTGCCAGGGTTTACAGTGCACTTTGGACATGCTTATTGTTTTGGGAAAAAAAATAATTTATATATATATATATATATATATATGCCTATATATATGCGGCTGGCCAAGCCCTGGCCAGCCGCCTACAGAGGTACACTAAAGAGAATGAAGCCAGAAGGGTGAACAGGCTGTTCGCAACACAACCTGCGAAGGTGTACGCTCAGTGGCAGGGTAACAACAGGGGAGCAGATCCACCGAGGCTGGAAACTGAAGAGTTCTGGAGGAACATATGGGAGAAGGATGCAGCACATAACAGAAGTGCACAATGGCTGGTGTCCCTGAGAGAGGAGCACAGCCACCTCCCAGCACAGAACTCAGTTACCATCACAGAGGCAGACATCCGAGAAAGAGTCTCAGGTATGAAAAACTGGACAGCACCTGGCCCTGATATGGTCCATGCCTACTGGCTAAGGACACTCACATCACTCCATGAGCGCCTAGCAGCACAAATGAACCAGCTGCTGAGAGATGGGACTCACCCAGAATGGCTAACCGAAGGGCGAACGGTCCTGATCATGAAGGACCCTGTCAAGGGTGCAGTCCCCTCCAACTACCGGCCAATAACCTGTCTCTCCACAACATGGAAGCTCATGTCAGGCATCATTGCGGCTAAGATAAGTGGGCATATGGAACAATTCATGAGCACAGCACAGAAGGGCATTGGTAGGGACACCAGAGGAGCCAAACACCAGCTCCTGGTTGACAGAACAGTCGCCCAAGACTGCCGGTCACGACACACCAACCTGTGCACAGCCTGGATTGATTACCAGAAAGCCTACGACTCAATGCCACACACATGGATCATGGAATGCTTGAAGTTGTACAATATCAACAGGGCTCTAAGGGACTTCGTTGCAAACTCGATGGGAATGTGGAAGACCACCCTTGAGGCAAATGGCAAGCCGCTCGCACAAGTGACCATCAAATGTGGTATCTACCAAGGAGATGCTCTGTCCCACCTACTGTTCTGCATAGGCCTCAACCCTCTAAGCCAAGTAATTGACCAGACTGGCTATGGATACCGCCTCAGGAACGGAGCAAAGATCAGTCACCTCCTCTACATGGATGACATCAAGCTGTACGCCAAGAGCGAGAGAGACATCGACTCTCTGATCCAAACAACCAGGATCTACAGCCATGACATCGGGATGTCATTCGGGCTCGAGAAATGTAGCAGGATGGTGACTCAGAGAGGCAAGGTAGTCCACACAGAAGGGATCTCACTCCCAGAGGGAACAATAGCAGACGTTGAGGACAGTTACAAGTATCTCGGTATACCACAGGCAAATGGCAACCTCGAACAGGTGACGAGGAAAGCGGCAACTGCCAAATACCTCCAGCGAGTAAGGCAGGTCCTAAGAAGCCGGCTCAATGGCAAGAACAAGGCCCGGGCAATTAACAGCTACGCCCTGCCAGTGATCAGATACCCTGCAGGAATAATCAGGTGGCCAAAGGAAGAGATTCAGACCACGGATGTTAAAACTCGAAAGCTCCTTACCATGCATGGCGGGTTCCATCCCAAATCCAGCACCCTGAGACTGTACGTAAGCCGTAAAGAAGGAGGCCGAGGACTAGTGAGTGTGAGAGCCACTGTCCAGGACGAAACATCCAAACTCCATAACTACATCATGGAGAAGGCCAAAACGGATGACGTACTCAGTGAATGTCTCAGGCAGTGGCGAGATGAGGAGGTGCTGGAGGAGAGCCCATCATGGGAGAACAAGCCCTACACGGCATGTACCACCGGAGCATAACAGAAGTGGCTGATCTCAAGAAGTCCTACCAATGGCTAGAAAGGGCTGGCCTACAGGACAGCACAGAGGCACTCATCATGGCTGCACAGGAACAGGCACTGAGCACCAGAGCGATAGAGGCCCAGATATACCACACCAGACAAGACCCAAGGTGTCGGTTGTGCAAAGAGGCACCTGAGACGATCCAACACATAACTGCAGGGTGCAAGATGCTGGCAGGGAAGGCCTACATGGAACGCCATAACCAAGTGGCTGGCATAGTGTACAGAAACATCTGTGGAGAGTATGGGTTGGAAACCCCAAGGTCTAAGTGGGAAACTCCTCCAAAGGTGGTGGAGAATGAGCGTGCGAAGATCCTGTGGGACTTCCAGATACAGACCGACCGAATGGTAATGGCAAACCAACCTGACATCGTGGTGGTAGACAAAGGGCAGAGGACAGCCGTGGTGGTGGACGTGGCAATTCCAAGCGATGGTAACATCCGGAAAAAAGAACATGAAAAGCTTGAGAAATACCAAGGTCTCAGAGAGGAGCTGGAGAGGGCCTGGAGGGTAAAGGTGACAGTAGTGCCCGTGGTGATCGGTGCACTCGGGGCAGTGACCCCGAAGCTAGATGAGTCGTTACAGCGGATACCCGGAACAGGGCTCATACAATTGTAATGTGGTGCAGCGACCGAATCACTGCGCACGCTGCACCGATCCACCTGTCAATCTCACGCTCCATCCTTCCCTCACTCGTGAACGAAACGCAAGATACTTGAACTCCTCCACTTGAGGAAGGACCACTCCACCCACCTGGAGAGGGCAAGGCACCTTTTTCTGGTCGAGCACCATGACCTCGGATTTGGAGGTGCTGATTCTCATCCCAGCCGCTTCACACTTGGCTCCAAATCGTCCGAGTGCATGCTGCAAGTCCTTGTTCGTTGGAGCAGACAGGAAAACATTGTCCGCAAACAGCAGAGATGGACGCCCTCTGGCACTTGGCTGCACCTACACATTCTGTACAAAAAGGCAGTGAACAGAACCGGAGACAAAGGGCAGCCTTGGCTGAGGCCAAAATGCACCGGGAACAAGTCCGTTCATACAGGGGCCGGGCGGCCCTCAGCTGAGGACCCCGTACTCCCGGAGAACCCCCCAATGACACCCCGGGGAACACGGTCAAACGCCTTCTTTAAATTCACAAAGCACATGCGGACAGGTTGGGCGAACTCCCATGAACCCTCGAGTATCCAATGGAGAGTATAGAGCTGATCCACTGCTAGCACAGAAGTCCAACAACTGAACAGCGCTCGGGTTAAGATCAGAGGGGCCGTTCATCCGGATCACCCCTCCCCAAGTGTCTTTGGCATTTCCCACATGGGCATTGAAGTCCCCCAGGAAAATAATGGAGTCCCCAGTCGGGGCACTGTCCAGTACCCCTCCCAGGGACTCCAAGAAGGCCGGGCTGTTAGGTCCATAGGCTGTCAAAACAGTGAGAGACTTGTCCCCCACCCGGAGGCGGAGGGACGTGACCCTCTCATTCACCGGGGAGAACTCCAACACGTCCCCGCAAAAAACACCAGAAAAGTAGAGCATCCAACCCCTCTCGAGGAGTTGGGTTCCTGACACCAAGCTGTGTGTGGGTGGACTGGGTCGCCGAGGTCTCCGCTTTTGACTGCTGCCCAGTCCTCTCTGCACCAAACCACCACAGATCCCTCTGTGGGTGGTGGGTCCGCAGGAGGGCTTGCCCACTTCATCCCTTCGGGCTGAGCCTGGCCAGGCTCCGTGGGCTAAGGTCCAGCCACCAGATGCTCGCTTGCCAGCCGGGCGACGTCACTGATTTTGTATTAGTGCTATCCATGGTGGTTTTTGGACTGGGCTTCATCTTACCCGTCACCTGAGACCTGTTTGTCATGGGAGGCCCTACCAAGGACATAAAGCCCCACCAAGGACATAAAGCCCCAGACAACATAGCTCCCAGGATTATCCGAGTACTCAAACTCCCCCATCACGTTAAGATGGCAGTCTAGGGGGAAGTTTGTTGTCTTTGTTTCATAAAAAATTTTTTGGCCTGCAACAAAATTGATTGGCTTTGACTATTGAGCTGACCGGCGACTGGCTGCTCCTAAGCCGGGCAAAGGGAGTTATGTAGAAGGGAACACCGGTAGACGATGTTCCCTTCTAGTGTGCAGGGACCTGTTGGGAGAGTTTGAGACGTGCCAAGCAGTGCCAAGAAGCTACCAGATTCTTTTAGTCAATGTCCGATCATAGCTAAGTGCAGGAACTGTAACATTGTGCAAGTGTGGTTTGTGTATGAAGAGGCAGTGAGTCTGTTTATAGCTGTGCCTGGGGACTATTGTAGCCACTGCTGCTCATGCTCACAGCACATTCCGGGCCTCTGCAGCACCAGGAGGTCTGACGACACCTCACACAAAGTATGAGTTGAAATGATCTCAAAGGACAAAGTAAGGCCGAGACGATGTAATTGCTTATGACATCTTGTAACTCTTTTAGGATTTTTTAAAGAGGGATTTACAAAACCGCTTTTAACCTCAGGCTTTAATATTTTCATATATATACAGTTGAGCCCTGCACGGGCCTATTATCTGGGCCCGAGCCCGGCCCTGGCCCGAAGGGGTGGAGCCCCAGCCCGGCCCGGCCCGATATGGTTTCTGAATTTTCAGGCCCGAAACCCGCATCAAGCCTGACTTTGTTGTTGTTGTTGTAACATCCCATAACAATGTTTTAGCGTAGTATATAGTGCCGCGCACTGATATGAACGCAGACTTAGCTAGAGGGCGGAGTTATACATGGTAGTGATGTGTTGCAATGAGTTCTGTGTGTGCGGAGTGGTGCAGAGTGAACGGCCGCATCTGTATGATGCCCAGATGCTGCAACACAACTGTAAGTAACGCTATGTGCCGTCAATGACAACACTACACAGAACAACAAACACTACAGCGTGATAGAACGCTATATTCAGTGGGTGCGTTCGTAAATGTAGTCTGCCGCTCTGAAAATGAAGAGCCCGAGCCCGGCACGTGTCCGAGATCATTATGCGGTCATCGGCCCGAAGCCCGGCCCTCGGGCCGTCGGGGCCCTCGGGCCAAGGGCTCAAGTGCAGGGCTCTAATATACAGTACCTTGCGAAAGTATTCGGCCCCCTTGAACCTTTCAACATTTTGCCACATTTCAGGCTTCAAACATAAAGATATAAAATTTTGTCATGAATCAACAACAAGTGGGACACAATCGTGAAGTGGAACGAAATGTATTGGATAATTTAAACTTTTTTAACAAATAAAAAACTGAAAAGTGGGGCGTGCGATATTATTCGGCCCCTTTACTTTCAGTGCAGCAAACTCTGAAAAGTTTGCTGGCGCCGTAAAGATGGCGCCGTGGCAAGAGCTCTGGTGTGTGTCGTCTGGTGCACACCGGGGTAGTCTTGCACAGTTTTTCCTATGTGGTTTTACTGCAAATGGCAAATAAATGAATCTGAATCTGAACTCACTCCAGAAGTTCAGTGAGGATCTTTGAATGATCCAATGTTGTCCTAAATGACTGATGATGATAAATAGAATGCACCTGTGTGTAATCAAGTCTCCGTATAAATGCACCTGCTCTTTGATAGTCTCAGGGTCCTGTTTAAAGCGCAGAGAGAACCATGAAGACAAAGGAACACACCAGGCAGGTCCGAGATACTGTTGTGGAGAAGTTTAAAGCCGGATTTGGATACAAAAAGATTTCCCAAGCTTTAAACATCTCAAGGAGCACTGTGCAAGCAATTATATTGAAATGGAAGGAGTGTCAGACCACTGCAAATCTACCAAGACCCGGCCGTCCCTCCAAACTTTCATCTCAAACAAGGAGAAGACTGATCAGAGATGCAGCCAAGAGGCCCATGATCGCTCTGGATGAACTGCAGATTGGGAACCAAGTTCCTTGGTTAATGCCTTCAGTTCCCTCAAATAATCAATATTGTCCTTGTACATTACCCTGGTGGCGCTGGCCTGGTATGTTGCCAACACCAACTCTATCTTGGCGATGTCTGAGGGTTTCATTCTGTGGGCCAGGAGCCTGCGCCATTCGTACGCCGAGGGTCTGTATTGACGACAAAACAGTTCAAATTTAACTCCACAATGTGGCCCGTCCTGCACTGGGTCGGGCAGGTGCCGGGCTATGTCTTTTAGTTCGTCTGGCTGCCAGGGTCTGTAGATGTAGGTCTCCCCATTCGCCATTGTCCAGCTGGCCGGGGTGGGTGGGATGGGGGCTGTCATTGGGTTCATGTGTGGCTGGGCGCAGACCCCCCAGATGCCGGGGCCTGAGGCTCGGCGTCCAACCAGCCGGGGTATGAGTCCAGGTCAGGGTCCACGTGTCTGATGGGTCTCCGGGCGTCTCCTGATTCCAGACCGCCTAAGCTGGGGTATAGAGAAGATACGGCAGTGACGGAAGTTCTTTGACAGTCGAACCCCCTCCTGTACTGGTTCCGGGCTCATTATGTGTTTGTGCTGTGGGCCAGGTGTTGTCCCCAAGTTGTCTACTCTGTCTATTTGTTTTCTTTCGTTCCCTTCTTTCTGCTTCATTTATCCACACATTCAAACATTTGTCATGTTTAAAGCTGCACTAACTGACTTTATTTTCCTATTCATTACAAAAATGCAATCCATATCCATGCAGAGCATTGGAATATACGTCATTTTGAAGAATAAGTAGCGCAGGTTTGTGCTGGCGTGACATTATATTTTAGATCGAGTTTTGGTGAAACAAGGAAGAGAATGTGTTGTGGGTCTCAGATTATGACCAATCACAGCGGACCACAGGCCCCCGCTTTCGTGAGAAAAGCCACAGGTCTCTGGTTAGCACCATAGTTAGCACCGTGGGTGCGGGGAGGGCGAGCAGAGAGAGGGAGCGCATCGCTCGCGTTTGAAATTTTCTCCAAACCAGTTTGTGCAGCTTTAATGATCTCATGTGTATTATCAGATGACATTTTCTTTTTCTTGGGCATATCACCTTTTTCTTTTTCCAAATTTTCTTTGACTTTATAGAGTTGGTTCAAACTTAACAACCCTCCTTCGGGAAAACCATATTTTCCAGACCATACATTCAAACATTCCAAAATTGTTGGCTCAAACTTTCCGGCCATGGCTTTTCTCACCGCAGTTTGTGGGACTTAATCCCTGTCAGTGGTCAATGACCCCTGAATTTGACCCATCTTGACCAACGATGGCTGTCCTTGCTCTCTGCACTACGTCTGAGTCTGTCCTGTTAAATGCCTCTGAATACACAGAACAAATAACTATCACAACTCAATAATCTGAGTCCGGCCCGTTAAATGCCTCTGAATAAACAGGAAAGTAACTTAAAACAACTCACTTCTGAGTCCGGCCCGTTAAATGCCTATACATAAAGACAATGACGCCCGATCTAAAGCTGCGGCTCTGGGCCCTCAGATACAGATTGTTCCATGATGCACGCGGTGTTTAGAGCACCACACCTGTGTTAGTCACTCGTCCCCATTACGAACCACTGATCGGCTGTGGTCGGCAAAAGGCCACCCTCACATGTCCTCCCTGGAGGTGAGGGCCGCGTCGAGGCCCCTGAGTGACCCGCTCTGGCCCCCGTTTAATGCGGATGCGTCAGCTTAATACATCCGATACAGGGCCTGATTACGATCAATTGGTATTAGCGGGACTTGTCTGTTATCTAAGGAGAGTGGAGATGAGGCCAAATTACTTCTCAAATCTCTCATGAATTATCGATCGTTTCCAGAGGTCGATAAAAATACAGCTTTTGTGTGACCCTGGGTTCGCGAAATACATACACAGATTTCACTAGTGGTCGGACGTACCAGATCTACTTTCTTGTATACATCCGAGCATAAATCATTTTGATTTAGTTTTTATGTACTTGTCTTGTGCACATGGGGACTTTTGCGTTGAAATTTCCAATTGTTTTTATACACTGAAATGTCAAATATATAAATCTGAATCTGATGATAATTATTCAGTTTTTTTTCATGCTTATGTTGATAAATAACGCTGACGGAATTCAGAGTAAGCGTAAAAGTGCAGTTTTGGATGGTTGCCTTGGTGATGGTCAGGAGGATTTGGGAGAATGATGAATGTCTCAAGTGCAAAAGCATAAAAACCACTCACCGGTGCATGAATAACTCAACAAAAAAATTAGTTGTAAATGACAAATGTACTATATACACATTAAACATTTATTTAGATGTATGTCAATCAGATTAAAAGTGTAAGCAACTGTGAAGTAGGCAGGGGCAGTGGATTTCCGGAAGAGTCAAATCAATGAAAATTACAAAAAAAATATTATGTACAATATTGTAATAAGTGATTGTTAATGAATTAATTTCAAAAAATTCTACGCTAACAATGAACCATTGTTCATTTTTTGAAAAGGCCATATTGTGATCTAAATTTTTCACTTAAGCTTATATAGGCTCTGTGGCGCAATGGATAGCGCATTGGACTTCTAGGCTGTTATTGGCAATGTCATTCAAAGGTTGTGGGTTCGAGTCCCACCAGAGTCGAAAATAATATGCCCATTCTCTGTTTACCCTGGACATGAACAAACAATGGACTTGAATCATTACCAATTAAATTATATTCAGGTTCAGTTATTTCTGATATATTGGCAAAATCTTGCATTAACAATGAACCATTTTTCATTTTTTGAAAGGCCAACTTATCAGACAGCTTTTTCTTAATTGGTGCAACAAGCTCATGTGCATTTCTGGCAATGTTATTCAAAGATTGTCGGATAGAGTCGCAGTTTACATGCCTATTCGTTGGATGTGGTAAACTTTGGTTGTCTTGCTCCTTTGAACGAACAATGGACTTGATTCATTTCCAAATAGATTATGTTTAAGTTCAGTCATTTTTAATTTGTTGTACAATAAACCATAGTTCATTTTTTGAAAGGCCATATTGTCATTTAGATTTTTTGTACCAGGTGGTATAGGCTCTGTTGCGCAATGGATAGCGCATTGGACTTCTAGGCTGTTATTGGCAATGTCATTCAAAGGTTTTGGGTTCGAGTCCCACCAGAGTCGCAAATTATATGCCCATTCTCTGTTTACCCTGGACATGAACAAACAATGGACTTGAATCATTACCAATTAAATTATATTCAGGTTCAGTTATTTCTGATATATTGGCAAAATCTTGCATTTAAAATGAACCATAGTTCAGTTTTTGAAAGGCCAACTTATCAGACAGCTTTTTCTAAATTGGTGCAACAAGCTCTGATGCATTGGATAGCCATTGGAATTCTAGGCTATTTCTGGCAATGTTATTCAAAGATTGTTGGATAGAGTCGCAGTTTACGTGCCTATTCGTTGGATGTGGTAAACTTTGGTTGTCTTGCTCCTTTGAACGAACAATGGACTTGATTCATTTCCAAATAGATTATGTCAAAGTTCAGTCATTTTTAATTTGTTGTACAATAAACCATAGTTCATTTTTTGAAAGGCCATATAGTCATTTAGCTGTTTCGTGTGTGGTCCTATGGGTTCGAGTCCCACCAGAGTCGCAAATTATATGCCCTTTCTCTGTTTACACTGAACATGATCAAACATTGGCTGTCTTGCTCCTTGAACGAACAATGGACTTGTCATTCAAAGGTTGTGGGTTCGAGTCCCTCCTGATGTATTGGCAAAATCTTGCATTTACAATAAACCATAGTTCATTTTTTGAAAGGCCATATTGTCATTTAGATTTTTTGTACCAGGTGGTATAGGCTCTGTGGCGCAATGGATAGCGCATTGGACTTCTAGGCTGTTATTGGCAATGTCATTCAAAGGTTGTGGGTTCGAGTCCCACCAGAGTCGCAAATTATATGCCCTTTCTCTGTTTACACTGAACATGATCAAACCTTGGTTGTCTTGCTCCTTGAACGAACAATGGACTTGTCATTCAAAGGTTGTGGGTTCGAGTCCCTCCTGATGTATTGGCAAAATCTTGCATTTACAATAAACCATAGTTCATTTTTTGAAAGGCCATATTGTCATTTAGATTTTTTGTACCAGGTGGTATAGGCTCTGTGGCGCAATGGATAGCGCATTGGACTTCTAGGCTGTTATTGGCAATGTCATTCAAAGGTTGTGGGTTCGAGTCCCACCAGAGTCGCAAATTATATGCCCTTTCTCTGTTTACACTGAACATGATCAAACATTGGTTGTCTTGCTCCTTGAACGAACAATGGACTTGTCATTCAAAGGTTGTGGGTTCGAGTCCCTCCTGATGTACCTATGGGTTAGGACCACACACAAACTTTGGTTGTCTTGCTCCTTTGAACGAACAATGGACTTGATTCATTTCCAAATAGATTATGTCAAAGTTCAGTCATTTTTAATTTGTTGTACAATAAACCATAGTTCATTTTTTGAAAGGCCATATAGTCATTTAGCTGTTTCGTGTGTGGTCCTATGGGTTCGAGTCCCACCAGAGTCGCAAATTATATGCCCTTTCTCTGTTTACACTGAACATGATCAAACCTTGGTTGTCTTGCTCCTTGAACGAACAATGGACTTGTCATTCAAAGGTTGTGGGTTCGAGTCCCTCCTGATGTATTGGCAAAATCTTGCATTAACAATGAACCATTGTTCATTTTTTGAAAGGCCATATTGTGATCTAAATTTTTCACTTAAGCTTATATAGGCTCTGTGGCGCAATGGATAGCGCATTGGACTTCTAGGCTGTTATTGGCAATGTCATTCAAAGGTTGTGGGTTCGAGTCCCACCAGAGTCGAAAATAATATGCCCTTTCTCTGTTTACACTGAACATGATCAAACATTGGTTGTCTTGCTCCTTGAACGAACAATGGACTTGTCATTCAAAGGTTGTGGGTTCGAGTCCCTCCTGATGTATTGGCAAAATCTTGCATTTACAATAAACCATAGTTCATTTTTTGAAAGGCCATATTGTCATTTAGATTTGTTGTACCAGGTGGTATAGGCTCTGTTGCGCAATGGATAGTGCATTGGACTTCTAGGCTGTTATTGGCAATGTCATTCAAAGGTTTTGGGTTCGAGTCCCACCAGAGTCGCAAATTATATGCCCATTCTCTGTTTACCCTGGACATGAACAAACAATGGACTTGAATCATTACCAATTAAATTATATTCAGGTTCAGTTATTTCTGATATATTGGCAAAATCTTGCATTTAAAATGAACCATAGTTCAGTTTTTGAAAGGCCAACTTATCAGACAGCTTTTTCTAAATTGGTGCAACAAGCTCTGATGCATTGGATAGCCATTGGAATT